TGTGAAAAAATGGCCATAAGTCACTTTTTCCAGTGCCCTTGTAACTTCAGATGGTCACTAAACCATCTGTTGTAAGTCGAGGGCTACCTGTACTTTCCCAAGCGTTTGCCCTCCAGACGATCAGTATTATAGCCATCGCGCCAGGTGTGCACTAGCGGCTAGAGGAGATCCCCCGCAAAGGATGGCACAGTTGATCCTTGTGGGTGCGAAAGCCCACTTGTCTCCAGTGGGATTTTCCTCCCACTTGACTGGGCTGGATGCCCGCGCGAGTTTTTTAGGGACCTGGGCGGCCAGAGGGCTCCCGATGCGAGCTGAGCTGGACTGGACTGGCCTGAACTGGGCAGGCTTAGAAGATCGAGGACCGAACTTTCTCAATGGCGCCGCGCGGATGAGTTCGGGAGGTGCGCGGGGAAAAAGGAGCTCGCCGTCTCCCAGCAAGCTACGCGCCCGCCCTGCTGAACTTTTCACCTCTGCAAGGAAGGTCCCGGTGCCACCAGCTCGGTCAACAAAGCCTGGGGCGGACGGGCTGTGCTTCGGGCTGGGTCGCTGGAGGCCGGGCCGGGAGGCTCAAATAACACGACAGGGACTGCTAGCTATCTCTGGCCCGCCGAACCCGGCCGCGCCGCAGGTTATCGAAAGGCCAGGGAAAGTGACCCTCGCTCGCACCTGCTCGCTTCCTTGTCCCAAGGCCGGCCGCCGCCTCGCAGGGCCGCTTAAGAAGCGCCTCCCTTGATTCCCGGGGGACACGAAGAAGCGGCCGCAGAGCGCTGGCTTAACGACCTGCTGTAGTCGGAGGGTTGAGGGAGAAGCCCAAAGAGGGCAGCGGGATCAGGTGCCAGCAGGAAGAAAAGGGGCCTGCCGTCTGCGTTCACACGAGGCCTTACGGAAATCGGACGCGCCTAGGCGTGGGGGGGGGGGATGCTGGGTGAACTCAGTGAACCGGACATCGCGGCAACGACTGGGATCGTCCTACTTTCTCAGTACTGGAGAATCACTAACCCCGGGCACCAGGGTTAGTGTTTACACCGATTGGAAGCCTAACAAAAGGGATGTAGAGAGAGCCGGTTCCAATCCCACTCAAGCAAGCAATAGAACCCATTCTCGTAGTAGGGGGTGTTGTGAAGAAGAGAGAAAAAGTGTCCTTTGAATTCAGAAATGGCAAGAGAGATTAAATCTTATCAGTCATCGTGTTTATTATGATAATGGGATTTCTCTTTGGAACACTGGCTCCCCATTAGGATTTAACAGGCTTGATTATAAAATTGAAAATTGATTAAACTGGAATAGCCCCAGGACTGCCGACTTCAACACACATTAAAGATATACTAGCCATGTTAACCCACCTCACCTCAAGCCAGCAAATATTAAAGCACCTTGGGTGTATCTACTGCCCTTGTACATGGAACCACTTGGTTGAATTGAATGGCTATAAAAGTTGAATAATAGATGAATGGTAAGCAGGCATGCAGGTACACAGACAGACAGCTGTCTTGGGAATCTCTTCCATTTCTGAGTATCAGATTGGTGTAAAATGCACAGGAGGCAGGAAATACTGCAGGCAGAGCCTAATCACCATCCTGCTGGGTCTGTTCTCACAAACAGCCATCCCTGAGCAACCATGCTTAGCTTCAAAGAAAAGATGGCAATCTTTATAAAGAGATATGAAGTGCAGGTATTCCAGTTGGCACAGGTCTCTATTAGGCAAAGACAAGCAGCACTTGGAATGAAGCCTATGGCAGTCCAACTCTAACCATATCATCTCAGAAGAATTAGTGGAGCATCTATATGTGGTGCTTATGAAATTAAGCAGAGGTCCAAGTGTTCTGTGAATGAGAGCACCTTCAAGAGCAACCTGTTCATTTAGATTATTTTGCAATACAGCTTAATCTTGCTTTTGCCTGGAAGAAAGTTCCCTTACTAGGAATTATAATATGTAGGGCGGCATCAGACTGGTCAATGGCCTTGAATGAATCACTATAAATTGTAAGGTTTAGATTGGCTTCTCAGATGGTGCCCTATTTGTTTCATAAAGGCATGATAGATCTGCTGAATTGAAACAACAAAGGAGGTGGCTCTCAATTTGGTGTCCCTCTGTGTTGACAGGTCCTGAGGCCAGCTCTAGTGACAATAATGTATTGTGAATAAAAGAGACTGTCTTCCATTATCTTGCTGTATTTCTCTTCCAGCACAACTCAAGTTTGCTAGCTTTCCTTCTTCAGTAGGACTCATACTGGTAAAATACAATTTAAAAAAGAAAATATTATCCACACAGGGCTATGATGCACATTTGCCCAGAAGTAAATCTATTGGATTCACTTCATTTTATTTCTATTAAATATGCATGGGATCACAGGCTGCTTGGCATTAAAGATAATGAGGTTCAGTGTTAAGACTTCTTTGCTGTTGTTGCCTTTTATGGTAAGTAGTAGTTATTCCTAATGGAATATAACCTTGCTTGGTCAAGCTAATGCTTTGCTTGACTTAATTGGTTGACTAAAATGACAATCACTCCTTTTTTCTTAGTGCTTAACTGTAAGAAGACAGTGATCAGTAAAACTTTGTTTCTCCTCCTCCTTCTCCTCCTCCTCCTCCTTTCCCTTTTCCTCTTCCTCTTGGAATGCTTCTGACCTAAACCCCCTTCATATAGAATAAGCCTTGTCTTGAGAGAGACACATTGAGTCTTTCCATAATTTATTATAGGAAGAAATTTGGTTTCAGGCTCTGAGTCTTAAATAACTAATCTATTACTTATGATAAAATAAAAGATCCTTGATCTTCTTTCAGATGCAGTTAAGGGTGGATGAAGGAGATGGCATTTATAGCATTTCTTGTTTCCTGGAGAAATAAATGCCATTATATTGAAGCAGGCATGTTTTCTAGTTTCTCAGATACAGGTAGTTCTGGACTTACAACCACAACTGAGCCCAAACTTTCTGTTGCTGAGACAGTTAAGTGAGTTTTGCTTCATTTTATGACCTTTTCTGCCACAGTTGTTAAGTGAATGCAGTTGTTAAGTTATAACATGGTCGTTAAGTGAATCTGGCTTTCCCATTGCTCATTTGCTTGTCAGAAGGTAGCAAAAGGTGATCACATGATCCTGGGACAGTGCAGCTATCACAAATATGAGTCAACTGCCAAGTGTCTGAATTTTGATCACATGATCATGGGGATCCTGCAACAGCTGTAAATGTGAAAAAAGTCCCTTTTTTCAGTGCTGTTGTAACTTCGAAAGTCACTAAATGAATTGTTGTAAGTCAAGGACTACCTGTAATTTGATTTTTTTTTTTTTTTTAGATTTGTTTGGAATACTCTTCTGAAGCCAGAGTTGTTCTTACAAAGTTATTGCTCAATCAGTTGATTTTCAGTTAGACAAAATTCTTTTAAAAGAACAGCCAGAGATCTTGCTTCAGCCAGAGACTTTTCAGTAAGGGGGTTCCAAGACAGGATCTCCTATAAATGTAAAATCATACAATCAAAGCATGGTGCTTGGAGATGGTGGAACATGTTTCCTGTTCTCTGGCAGGAGAACCAGTGAAATCAGCATCATTAAAATTATGGATTGCAAAACCCTGCTTGACAGCATAATCACCATGACTAGATTCACTCAACATGCCATATCTATGCCTTATCACAAGAGTTTTTCAACCCTGGAAACTTTTAAGGTGTGTGGACTTCAAATATCAGGATTCCATGCTTGGCTAAGAGATTCTGTGAGTTGAAGTTCACACTTCACAAAGTTGCTAAAGTTGTTAAGGAATACTGGCTTAGCAGGAGATTTAGACCCAACCTCTCTGCTTGGGTGAAGTGCTTCATGGTGGAAGTTCTTTCCTATTCCTATTTCTAACTTAGTTGTCCCATGCTGCAACATGGAGGATGGGCTGGGGTGACAAAGGAGAATCAGAAGCCATTCCAGGGCTCATCCAGTGTCAGGCAGCTGTGTCATAGAACTTGTCAAATTCAGTAGCATTGGTTGGATGAAAGGGATTGAGACGTTCCTAAGCACATCAGAAAATATATTTAATTTTAAAATGTTCCTGACACAAGACTTTTGGCTTGTTCTATAATAATAATAGTAGTAGTAAAGTTGGAAGGGACCTTGGAGGTCATCTAGTCCAACCCCCTGCTCAGGCAGGAAACCCTATACCATTTTGGACAAATGGCTGTCCAGTGTCTTCTTAAAAACTTCCAGTATTGGAGCATTCACCGCTTCTGGAGGCAGGTTGTTCCACTGATTAATTGTTCTAACTCTCAAGAAGTTTCTCCTTAGTTCTAGGTTGCTTCTCTCCTTGATTAGTTTCCACCCGTTCTTCTTGTTCTGCTTTCAGGCGCTTTGGAAAATAGCTTGATTCCCTCTTCTTTGTGGCAGCCCCTGAGATATTGGAATACTGCTATCATGTCCCCCCTTGTCCTTCTCTTCGTTAAAGTAGACATACTCAATTCCACCAACCTGGAAACTCTACTGGATGATAGTATTTCTCTTCATGCAAGGAATGGATGTGGAAATGTCTTTGTGTGTACCTATATCAAATACTTTTTTTAATGTGGCAAATTGCAGAGACTATCCCTATTCTTGTAATAGCATTGTTCCTGATGTAGTAGTAGTAATTATTATTAAACTGTAAGAAGTTACAAGGGATGTGAATTCTGTATCTCTTATTCACATAGCTATTAGTATCCCATTGAACATACTGTTGGATTTACAAGGAAGCAAGGCTGCAATCTGAAACAAATTTAATGAGCACAACACCACATATTCCAGAGTTAAAATATGCACAGGATACTCAGATCTCAGTTTCCTCATATTAGCCTTTGCCAATCTGGTGCCCTGCAGATTCATTGGAAATTTATGATGTGTGGGTCTCTCTCTGTGTGTGTGTTATCCTATCCAGATAAAGAAACACCACAAGACAAATCATATTGGAATTTTGTTTTTCTTTTTAATTTGATCTCTCTTTCTCTCTCTTTCAAAAAAAAAAGTTACAAAATCGGCTTTTGCTAATGTAGTTTTTTGCAAATAATAACAATAACAATAATAGTACAGAAAGAGGGGGAGGGGAGGAAGAAAAGGACTTGCATGACCTTCAGAAATCAAGAAATGTCAAGGATTTAAAGCTTAACAAAAAACATGAACAAACAGGCGTAGAAAATGGACACAACAAATGAAGCCTGATTATTCTCACTCTAGCGCCTACTTGCTGTTTGGTGGGTTTGCAAATGAGATTAATAAGGATCGTTATAAACATGGATGTGCTCAATATTGGTATAATCCAATTGGCAGTGAATTCATCGTTTTCTCTTGGGAGCCGAGCTCCCTTTCAATCTCCACTCCAGGCAGATTCTGAAGGGTCTACCCCACCTACGAGCCAATATTCAGCTCCGAAGAAAGTTATATAAATAACTCCCCCTTTCTCTCTATTTACTTCATTAACGGAGCAAAGGACTAAACATGCATTACACAAAAACAGAGCAATTAGGCTCCACCCGCTTGTAATATTTCCAGTCTGAATTTGGACTGTGACTCCTCCCTCCGCTTCCTTCCCACCCCCCAAGGAAAGCGTTTCTTCCTTTCATTGACAGATATCTTTCGACTCTGTGGAAGGGTGGGGAGTGAAGAGCTGATCAAAGAAGGAAGGCAACTATCTCAGACTATCTCAACTATCTCAGAAGGAGTTGTCCCTGCCAAAGGGATTCCAGCCTGACCCACATTGAGTCTAAAGTCTAAAAAAGAAAAGTGGAAGGACCAAGTCCCAGTGAGGCATCTTTTTGGATGAACAGATGAATAATAAGCAGAGCTTGGAGGTCAGAGAGTTCTCCTCGAGAGTAAGAGAAGTAAGAAAAACAGAGCAAGCCCCATGGTGATAGACTGAGGAGGCAGGATCCAACCCATAGAAGTTAATATGGCCATATGAAAACTGTCAGCCAACCACATCACCCAGTCAACTTGCAACCCTTCTTAATCTAATATTATCTGCTCAGACTAGTCTACAGGGCTGATCAGGATGGCCACCATGACAGCTTCCAAGTGGTGAAATGCTAGGAAGAAAATGCAGTGGAATCCCTCACATGAGAGTTTTCCTCAAGGTCCCATGCCCTTACAGTACTGCAACTATAACTTGGATGGGGATCTTTTTAGCTTTTATTTTTGAACAACTGTGCTTACTTGGAGTGGATTTTAAAATGGCTTAAGCCCAAAGATCATGAATAGATCCTAAATGTGTTGGTATGGAATTCTCCAACAGAAAATTGGGAGATATCATGATTCTAAGACTTCACTGAGAGAAAAATATTTGCAGCACTAGTTGGCTAAAAAAATTGTATGTATGTACTGGGAGCAGGAAAATCTGAGTTCTGGACCTGCCTTAGGCTTAGAAGTCGATTAGTGACTTTGGGCTAGTTTCTTTCTCTTCCTTCTGGGAAGCAGTCAGTGGCAAAATGCTTCTAGACAACTATGGGGACCTGTCTCCAAGAGACACTCTCTCTATTTCTGTCTCCCCCTACCCCCTCCTTCCCTCTCCAAGATCGTCATTCAAATGGTTTCACACAATCTGTGAAACTATGTTTGTTAAAACACCAAATAATTCATAACTGGCTTGAGACACGTGGCATACTAAATCGTGTTGTGCAGACCTAGTATGTGTTGTCTTCAATCGGTTGAAGAATTACTCTTAAGAGGAAGTCCATTGTTTGGGGACTTACTTTCCAGAACGTCTGGCCATAGCTACCAACTCTTTTTTTTAAACAGTTCTTAATTTTGACTGGATCTCCGGAGCCTCCATTCCCAAATCCGTTGCACTGTCTTTGATAGGTAAACGAATTGATTCTAGCATGGAAGTTCATACAGATTTAGCAGTAAAACAAAACAGAATAATAGGAGATGGTTTTCGATTCAAAGTCTAAAAATCTAGCAAATCCCTTAAAAGCAAAGATGCTCCCAATGATCTCGGACAAATCTTTACATGCTTACTTCTAGACAAGAGAAACTGCGTCGGAGCGACCGGAGTCTCGCCCAGCAATTTCCCCAAGCTCTTTCGTTCGCAGGCTCTCCCTTTTTAAAAGCTGATGGGGCTGATCTACCTTTGGCCATGATCTTGCTGCCCTCTAAACGCCAGACACTCTTCTGACAACCCGTCTACCCAGCATCCCCGTTCCCCTTCGGGTCCAGCTAAGCGTAGATCAGGAGAGCAGCCGAAACCGCCTCTTGGTCCCGTGCAACGGCGCCCGCGCCTAGCTGGCCTCATCCGAGTCACTGTAATGCGATCGAGGCGAGAATTCGCCGTCGCTGCGGTGGGCTGGCGGCGAGGTTTTCCTTCGCTCTTGTGGCTGCTGGCCAGCCGGCTGGAGAAGCTGGCCCGGCGAGGGGGCTTTTTGCCCCAGAATGGCGCCGTCCGTGAAGGAGGGGAAATGCAGCGGCTCTGGCTGCACCTCGTAGCCCCCTCCTGGCCCCGCAGATTCTAAGGAAAAACGCGTCCTGCCGTGGCCCGCCACCTGGGCCCGGGGCTGCAGCGCGCCCCCTCCTGGAGGGGTGCAAGGCGCGCGCTCGTAGGTCTGGGCGGCGGGCGGCAGAGAAGGGCCCTTGCCGCAGGGGGCGCTCTCGGGGGGCAGCGGGCTGTGCAGGAGCTCGGCTAAGGCGCTGATGTAGATCTGCGCCATCTGCAGTGTCTCGTACTTGGAGAGTTTCTTGTCGTTGTTAAAGGAAGGGATGACGTTGCGCAGCTGGTCGAAAGCGTGGTTCAGCCCGTGCATCCGGCGCCGCTCGCGAGCGTTGGCCGCCAGCCGCCTCTGCCGCTGCACGCCGTTCCCCTGGGAGCCCTGGCGGAGAAGAGGGCTGCCTCCGACGGCGGAGCAGGGCGAGCGGAGCCGCGGCGGGGGCGCTAACGGCGCCTTGCAAGGGCCGCTCCGGTGGGGACGGGGATGCTGCGACTGCTGAAGCGCGCACAGCTGCTTCCCGGAGGAACTGTTCGAACTCCGTCGGCTCCCGCGCTCGGCGGCGCCGGCCCTCAGGAACTCCTCCTCCTCTTCTTCCTCCTCCTCCTCTTCCTCTTCCTCTTCAGCCTCCTCTTCATCTCCCTCAGGTGTACCCGAAAGCAGATACCTGGGGGATGAGGAGAGGCGGCCCGGGCAGCAAATACCCAACCAGGGGGAGGGGAAGGCGCCACCTCGACTTGCCGCCGCCGCTTCTTCTCCCAAGAGGAGGTTGCCTTCCAGCTGTTGCTGTGGCGGGCCCAAATCCCTGCCGCTGCCGGCCCAGTCACTGTGCGCACTAGGCGCGCGCAGGTGGTTCATCGCGACCGGAGGCGAGCGTGGCGGCGACCAGAGGCGCAAGAAGTGCCGCTGCAGCCCCGCTCCTGACACTTTCTTTCCCGCGCGCCCTTTCGCGACCCCGTCTCCTCCTCCTCCTTCTCCTTCTTGCTGGGCCGCTAAGAGCCGTTTCTTCCCCGGCGGGCGCTTTTACAAAGTCGGAAATCTCCCAGGACATATAAGTGTCTACCTACAGGCACACTGCCCGCACACTACCAGGCGTCTCCGGTTGCGAAGGGCGCTGCGCCCCTTTAAAAAGCGGCACGCGCCAGGGTCCCCCACCCTTGCTACCTCCTCCTCCTTCGCCCCACGCACACCTCCTCGGCGCCCCACCCTCCGTCTCCCACCCACCTCGCGCCAGTCGCGTGTCGACTCAGCCATTGGAGCCCGCGGGCCTCGGCGCGTGCTGGCAGCCAATGGGCAAAGCAGTCAAGCTTGGGTGTTTGGGCTTTCGTTCCTTTCCCTTTTCCTTCCCCCCCCCCTCCCCGCCTTTGGCCCACATCGGGATTGGGGGCGGGAAAGCAAAGGAGGGAGGAAGGCAGGGAAGAAAGAGAGAAGAGCCAAGTTGACACAAAAGATGTAAAGTTCTCCCTCAGAAAGAATTGCTCCGCTATTAAGTTAGGAAGGCCGTTTTCGAGCAGGCTTGGCGACTCGAGTCACTTACGTGTGTGAATGTGCATGGGAGGGTTGTCGGATGGGGGAGGGGGGGCAGCTGGTTTCCTACACTTGCAGGAGTTCGTGAGGTAAAAAAATAAGCCGGGCGGTGATCAAGGAGAAGGACGTGTGAAGGCGCGTGTCTAGAAACGCCACAACGCGCGCGCGTAAATCTCCAGCAACAGGATTTGGCCTCAGGGCGCCGAGTGGTGATAATCGCTTTCTAATAGCTCTGAACTAGGCGGGCCTCAAAAGCCGCCTTTCTCCGCTGCTTCCGAACAGAAGAATACAGACGGCGAGCCTGAGGCGTTTGCGCGTCGCTCCCGCGCGCTCCGTGAGGCAGCTTGGCCACCACCAGCCCAAACCCCTCGTCAGACTTTCTTTGGTTTTTGCTTTTGTAGAAAAGGCGGGATGGGGGTGGAGGAGTGGGTCAATGCATGCTGAGCACCAAATGCTTTGGGGTCACTGCTATCGAGGCGTATGGAAAAACTAGTCCCCGCTCAAGCCACGCTAAAGAAAAGCGCGAAAGGCAGCGGCTGGAACCAGGTTGGATGTGACCAGCACGCTCCCCTCTCGCTCTCTGAACGGAGCAGCATTTGCTACGGAGCTCGCCCCCAAAGGACCCCCGATTTGTTCGGCTGCCGCAGCTACCGTGGGCGATCGGAGAAAGTGCAGAAACGCATCCCGGGGCTACTATCAGGGACGAAACGTACTGAAACGAATCAAAAACTGAATCTCGAAGCCGAAGTCCAGGGCAGGGCTCTGCAGTTCAGGGGAACACACAGCCGATCTCCCCGATTTCTCGGACCTTTTCCTTCATCCCAATGAACGGCCCACAAAACGACCAGTTTAAAACCGAGAGCTCTTGAGGTCCAGAAAGTTCATTGGAGCAAACTTTGGATGGAAACCCCAAAAGGGGTTCTGGGATTCCAGAAGCCATTGATCCTTCTGTCCCTCTTAAACGCTCCTTGCAGGTGACTGGAGGTACAGTGAGCAAACTAAACCTTACTTCTGGGCAGACATAGAGTGGTTAGCACACCACGCCTTTATTCTTTTTAAAATAAAAGTCTGACTAGAGCTGCTTAGACAAATACAGTCATCGCTGGTTATTTTATTAGTTTTTATTATAATATATTGCACTTTTCTACAAGCCTGTGATAGTTCTGCCTAGGGAAGCATCCCCCGATCCAATATAATTTCTTACTTGGCTGGATGACTGAATATTATAGAAAGAAAGGGGCACGGGGATCACATAGGCTACCATTTTTGTATGCAATTATCTGTATGCAAGCAGCACTGTCCTCAACATGCAGAAGTCAGTTGTCTAGTCTCTACTTGATATCCATTAAATGTTCCTCAAAAGTTAACAGACTGAACACTTTTCATTCGGAGGCACAATTTTATGTACACTTACCTGGAAAAGAGTCCATCTGAATGCTGTGAGAGATCATTCTGAAAGCATCAGCATAAGGTTAGGCTGTTACTATGCAACACCACTAGCTTGCTGGAGTGTTGGCTTCTGCTGCCAGAATTAATAATCTTATTAGACTGATCAAGCTTGTTCTTCTATTTGCTTCCTAATTGCCTGTTGCTACCTATATACATACTTATGTTCAAACGTTTAGCTTTGTTGAATGTCTGCAACATACAACTTCCCTCTTACTCATCCCTATTGGACTCAAATGTCTGGTTGCAGTCTAATTTCTTGATAATAAATTAAAATGTTAGAATTATTATTACTGTTATTATTATTATTACTATTATATTAATGTGTGGCCCATCTCATGTTTGAGGTAAGCATTAATGAGTAGGTATCACTTGACTCTCCTTGTCTAGGCTGGCAAGATAAATAGGATCTGGCACGATTAGCATTTGATTGCAATTCCCAGGTAACACTTGGAGGCTAGACAAAATTATTCTAAAAGATGGCACAGGTTGACCCTTGACAGTTTTATTGTTGACAAGAAATCTATATGGATATGCTCTTGAAGTCGTTTTCTGAGCATGACTACAAATAATATTTTTAAGACTTGGACATTGTTTTGGAAAGTTGTGAGATATGAAATTTTAGGAGTATATATAAGCACATGGCCAATCACAAAATTAAGTTTTCTCTTGAGAGTATTCTATAGGTTTCCCCCCCCCGCCAGATTTTATTTATTTATTTATGAGACTTATATACCGCTTTAAGTGCAAGCACTCTCTAAGCAGTGTACACCAGTAAGCAATGTATATATATATTTACATTGCCCCCAAAAATCTGGGTCCTCATTTTACCTACCCCGGAAGGATGAAAGGCTGAGTCAACCTTGAGCCGGTGAGATTTGAACCGCTGACCTGCTGAACACAGTCAGCTAAAGTGGCCTGCAGTACTGCACTGTTCTCTGTATTCTCAGGCTTACTTTAGTCTTAGTATTAGGCCGGAGCCATACTTTTCTTAGAAAAAAGGTGAAGAATTGTTAAGCCAGAAGAAAAAGGGAACAGAAGGATAGGTGATAATGATTCCACTTGTAGCATAAAGGAGAAAAAGGGTGGCGATCAGAGAGTGTGCAGGAGGGAAGAGGGAAGGTGATGTGGTGCCCATGCGTAGGAACTTCAGAAAGACCTGTAGATTGGGGTAGAAGAGACACAGGAAAAAATAGGGAGAAAGAGAAGGATATTTCAGTGAGAGCATTCTGTTTCAGAAACAGAAAAAAAAGCAGTAGATAATGCAAGCCTGTAACAATGCAGTGTGATGACCACAATCCACAAGTTCTCCATTACAGCTGGGGCAGGCAACTTGTGGTCCTAGGAACTACCTTGTCTCTTGATGACAATGAAAGTTGATGTTGTTTCCTGCCATTCTGAGACCAAGATCCTATGAAAACAATAAGATAGCTCCTAAAATAACTCTAATAAAGAAAAGTGTCACCAGTTTTGTAATGGGATTAATCAGATATGCATGGCAAATTTCATCTCACTTGACCAAGCAGCGTGAAATCCTTGACTGATTCTAATCTAATCTCTTTCTGTAACAACCCCTATCATTTATATCTTTTTGACAAGGATACAGAAAGTTCTTCATGAACATGTATTTTATCTGAATTTGGTAACTCATGCTTTAGTGATTCAAAGTCAGGGTAAATAATGGATTAAAAAAACAATACTATATTACCCAAATACTCATATAACTTCACATTGGGTAAGCAATAGTGGGTTTTTTTCTTCAAAATAAGCTATGAACATATTTTTACTAATGTCTAAAGAAAATATAAAACATTTGTTTCATTTTCATTTCATTTATAAGTAAAATAAAAGTGGAAATACTGAATCTTACTTCACAACTTAAAAATACCGTGGGAGAGGGAAAAAGTCATGGTATCTCTTAATTTGATGAAAATTAACTTGTTTTTTATTGAGAAATCCAATTTATTTCAACAAGAATAAATAGTAATAGTAATATAAAATGAGTGTTTTGAGGCCTGTATAGGCCAATGTAGAACTATTGTACCATTTTCACTAAACTGGGAGGGGGAGATAGGATGAAAAAGAATCTCTAACTCATATAGATTAATTTTTCCATTCTTCATACTTCATTCAAACTCTTTATTAGGAATATACTGTATGTATCATTTACCACTATGCATATGTGCCAGACGTCAAAGTCAACGTCAGTAGGTGACTCTTGAAGAGTTGGATTTAATTCTGTTCTCCCAGAATAAGACAAATGTTAGTGCTGAAGAACTCCTGGGGTTGGCTAAGTTCATTTGGTATTCAAAAATGTCTCTCCCTTTTTCCTTTTACCAGTTCTCATTGTATGTTCAAGCCTACTTGAGTTTCTTTTCTCTTTTGTTAGACTTGACTCTTTTGATGTTATTCGGACTATGCCCTGCTGCAGAGACAACTTCACAGGAATCGGAAATATAAGCATACAACTCAGGAAAAGGCATTGAAAGCCTCAAGATATACTTTAAAAAAAAATCTGAGTGAATGAACTATCATCAAGGGAGTCAGAAGCATAAAAATGTTCTATTTCTCATTTATGTATCTTGATCATTCTAAGTATAGTTATTCGGAGATCTCTTCTGCTGAAATTTAATGGATTTTTCTAAGCTAAAATATGTGAAAAATAAAAGTGAGAATTAGTCAAAACTTTCAGAGAGTTGATTCTGGAAGAACACAAAATGATTTAGTAAACCCAAATCAAATAACTCATACAATTGTTAAAACCATATATTCTGTAGGATAACTTTATAATTGAGTTTTACAATTCAAATAACATTATTCAATTTATTATTAAATTTTAGTTTGGATTTATAATTTAAAGAACATATTGTGATGAACACATACTGAAATGCAAGATCTTATTTAAAGAAGTAATAAGTAACAATTTTAGCTCTGCCATTTTTGGAATTCTGAGCCTAAGAATGTTGCCTAACATTCATACCTCCCCCAAATCATTTCAGAATTAAAATTATATTGTTTTTGGAGATTCACAGAGGTTTGTCTTGTAAGGAGCCCCCTCTGGCTTTTGTTGGTCACTACACAACATATTCTAGACAGAAGGTCTATATAAGGGCTGGAGACGGTGAGGTTGAAAATATGGCCCCCAGAACTATTCTGTTCATACTGACGTTGGGCTCCTCGGCCCAATAGT